CTCAAGACTAAACTGGTCTGTAGAGGCTAGGATATTTTAGTTCAAGGGGGAAATCCCAGTGAAAATATTCACCAGATAAAATACATGAATAATTGCACAATGTGTGTAGGTGAAGTCCAACTTCATTATGCCTATGATCTCTTGAAAATTAGGTCATGAAGGGACATGCCTCTGCACAGTGGCAGTAAGAGATGCCAGTGGAAGAAATTGCAGGAAGGGGCATCTGGTCATAAAGGAGGGATACATATCTGTCTTTGCATGCAGCCACACACTAATGCACTTATCATGCCCCTTATTAATCTTATGGATAGGTGGATAGGGAGGAAGATAAATCGTGAGATGTATACATATATGCTGAATAAGAAACTAAGGAAAAAGACCCCACAACCCAGGAATGAAATGCCAAAAAACATGCTACGCTCATTGACAGTCTTTCCAAGGTTCTTATGCTGGTTCTTAGCATTTACAAGGTTGCTTTTTACACTGAAAAATGGATGAGTGCTGTCTCTAATGCTTCTGTTTAGGCACAAGAGTGATACTGGATTCATGTGAGGGATGGAGAGCAGGAAAGTGTTCGGTATATTTAGATTCGATATAATTGTTATTTCATATTCAGTAAAGTTACAGAGATGGACTTCATTCCTCATTTCAAAGAGAAATCCATCAGATAAATTATGTTCACTGTGGGGAGAGGAATTTTGTCAAAACCAAGGTGAAAGATGCCTTTTTTCAGTAGCCTTGATGTACTAGGAGGTGTGCTTCTTGCATGCTACTAATAAGTGTATTTTTTAACCCTGGGTTCTACATGTGGAAGAGTTTTCTTGCTTCTTCCAAAAGGCTGTCTGAGAAACCTCGTACTTAGAGCAGGTAGATCTGTGGTGCTCAGGAAGTCCATATGTCAGCCAGGCCAAGGTTACAGGACTGAAAAAAAGAGTATTTTGAACTTTTTTTTTAGCATGCCAATGTTATTGGAATATTAATAAATGTAAGGGGGTACTCATTTAAAGTAGCTCAGAATTATGTCAGCTGGAGGTTTTGCTGCAGTGCATTAGTATCACAGGTAAATGATTCATGACTTTTGCCATCCTGACCTGTTTGAAGCTGTGATTTAACAATGCAGACTTTCAGGGAAAACAGTTATAAATCTGATCTTTTATATATTTTATAAATCTGATCTGATAATTTTTTTTCCCCAAGGAACAGCTGCTCCCAGCTGCAGCTGTATAGTCATCTTAGCATTTGCTGTTTATGATCCCTTTTTGCCATACTTAATATCAGTTTAATTCTTTGGTTGTTTTATTGGAGAGGGAAAAGTCCTTTGGTAGTGCATATATACTTATAGTGTTAGAAAAAATATTTTCCATATGCTTAGGTTTTCTATCCTTGCCATCAAGTGATTCTGTTATTATAAAATCTCCTCTGAAGTACAAGTTCCAGGCAGTGCAGGGAGGTGCAACAGGATTTCAGGAGCCAGTGGGACTGGCAGCTTACTGTAAATGTTAACACAAGGCTGCTGTTTGTTAGCTTGGAAATCCATTTGCTAGTTTTTCCCTGATCTGAACGATTGGATGATGTAAGGATTTTCCTGTTCATCAGCTTTCCATTTCTTCTGTGAATTTCCTGTCTTGCTCCAAGGCAGTCATTCAGGTTATGGTGACTCTGGTCACCAGCACTACAGCCAAATTTCCTACAAGAGCAAATCTGGATCCTCTGTATTACCTCCTACACTTGACCTCAGGAATGGAGGAGGTAGGGATGAGAGGAGTTTGTATGAGTTGAAGAGATTTGACTCACGAAACAGTTCTAAAATGATGCCCCCCCCACCCCCCCAAAATGTACATGCAGAGATGAGGAAAATCTGTTTTTTTTCTAGAACACAAGATGATTCTGGTCCTTCCGGTTTGTTGTACAGCCTCTCCTTTCAGTGTCTGAAGACCACTCCTTCTTTCTCGCTTACATCCTTGTCAGTCTATACTTATCTCTTCCTCTGACTTATTTTTAAAAGTACTTACCTGAAAATAAAATGAACAGGTGGACTAGTGCCTTTTCTGGGAGATTTTCTGGGAAGCTGCAAGGCAATTAAAAAAATGTTTAGTCTCTTTTTGTAATTTGGCTGCCATTCAGCCTTCTCCAGATCATCTGGTCTCTCTGCCATCTAGATCAACTAGCTTTTAAAAAAATGTCTTCATGCACACTTTTAAACCGTTTGCCTTGATCAGAAATACAAAAAAAAAAAAAGTCAGAAAAACAAGACAGGGATGTGCTAAATGGGGAAAATTGTCAAGGGATATATTATTCAGAGCTTTATGTAAAACTTCCCTTTTTTTCCTAGTTGTAATGGTAGTTTCACTCTTGCCTCTCTTATTGAACTTGACTGTATTCATTTGGTTTGCTTGGGGCTATCTTAGTGAGTTTTGAAAGGAAGGGCTGGTCAGTATCCAGTCCTGAGTGTTCCTTAGTATCAGTTCATATGATCTGTGGTAGGAAGGGAATGATTCTGTACATCCAAGCCTAATGACCTGAAGTTGTAGAGCTAAATAGCAAAACTGCTACTGGCATGGTTCACTATTGTTTTTAGCTCTGAAGAGGAGACAGTGGAGGAAAGGTTCATCTTTCCATACCAACTGTGCCTTTTGTTGAACAGTCTGATCTTGCTGAGAGGTTAATGTTCACCTTTCTTTTTTAACCAGGTTCTGCAAGATGCCACACATCTTTTTGGGTTCTATTCATAATAGGCTCATTCCTTGAGAGAACGGCTCTCTGCTCTTCTGGTACTGTACAGGCCCTTGCACAGGACAGAGACTTTGCAACTTGAATTGTTGCTGGAAGCAGCCAAAGTAGAAAATGTGACTGATTTAACTAAAACAGCAACACAGAAGTCTGTGAATTTAGTTTGTGCTACTTAAAGTATAAATATTTTCTCAATTTTCCTTCAGAGTGCTAATTATTTTACATTTCAAGAATGATTTTCAGAGGTTAGACATTTTGTAGTGTGGCATAATAAAAGAAAAATCACACTTTCCCATGGAATAACTGATCCAGATTCAGTTTGGAAAAGTGATTTCTGAAAGCTTTTGCTCCTAATCTCATGGAGTGCTGCAAAGCCTGCCAGGCTGCATGGGCTCTGCTCCTGCCAGGTTTACCTGGGGAATACCTCGTTGTTAAAATCATCTGTTGCATCCAAGCCGTTCCAGTTTCTAATATTGAATTTCTAAGTAAAAGTGAGTGGTGATACTGTCAGATTTGAATGAAAAAAAACATGTTTACATCTTAAAAAAGCAGTGATGTGACTTTGGAGTTCAAGAACTCATTTAGAATTAGTTTAAGCACTGAAATAAGCCTAAAGTCCCTAAACTTTCAATGAAACAAAGGGCCTGAGGTGATGTGAAGGTACAGAGCAGGCCAGAGAGGTGCTACTGCCTTTGGGACACTTGCTAAGACTGTGACCAAAGCAAAAACCTGCATTCAGATTACTGAATAGTGGGATTTAGGTCCTAGTCTGTGGCTCATAATGGTGATGCAGCATACTTGATAAGGCAATTACTGGTTTTATGTTGAGTTGAAGAAAAAAAAAATTTAATCCCTTTAAGAGACTGCACATACCGCAACCTTTTAATGGAAAAAAAAAAACCCCACCTTACCAGTATTTAAATCTAATTTGAATTATCTCTTAAGAGGGGCATATGATGGTGAATGTCAGCTGAATGATGCTTGTATGTTCTCTATAGTGAAGTCTTGGTCTGCTACATATGGAAGACTTAGCTGAGCCAAAAAGGGAAATAAGGACAGAGAATAAGGAGCACAGGGGAAGTATGTGCCTAGCATTATCAGGGGATTGCAAATTCAGATAAAGTAAGGCACAGACATTTTGTCAAAGAAGCTGGGTATGTAAGTTTAAAGCTTGCTCTAGGCAGTTTAACTTAGCCAGCACTTCCAACAGATGTTAACCTAAGGTGACACTGACCTTGGCAGACTTACAAGGGCAAGACTTGCACAGGGATAAATTATTTCTTGATCAGTTGCTCAAGTATATGAGACACAGTCCAGCATTCCTTCAGTATTGATTATGGGTGTTTATTTTATCCCAGAACAAACATACTGATTGCAGGCAGTGGAAGTAGAGCAGTCTCTCTGTATATTTGAGCACTTCTCTATCCATTTTAGTATATCCTGGGGTACAGTGATGCTACTTAGTTTGTGCTGTGCTGCTCTCTCCACTCTCCTTCTTGACTCATTTGTTTTTAAAGCTGAAATGCATGGAGTAGGAAGTAGTGGTTTTGTTCAGTAACTGTGCAATCAGGATTTTTGGCCAGATTGTCTTTTTTCTGGCCTCGCTGGCTTCATGTCCAGGAGAAATTTCATTAACTTGGTGTGTGGACACACAATTCCAATAGCACAGCTAGTTTTCAAGTGTTGTAAGTGGCTGCTTTCAGGCTGTCAGTGTTTAGAGACACAGTGGAGGCAACTTAGCCACAACATCGCTATTTTTAATCCACCCTCTGTGTACTGAATCACCGTACGTCCTGCTAAATCTGTCAGGGTCTGTGGGTGGTAAGTACTGCTAGGATGTAATTCCTTTTTGTTGTGAGGAGCTACCCAGACGCAGGAAATAAAATGCCATGGTATGAACAGAACTCAGCTGTACCCTACCCATGCTTGTTGTAGTGATTTCTGTATAGCAGAATTGGGCAGTTCTGAAGTCATAGCCCTTTCCTGGATTTGTGGCCCAGTGGACAGAGCTTGTTAGTTTCTTGGACTAACTGAATGCTGTCAATACCAAAAGTCCTACAGACATTATCGTTTTCAGCTTAATATATTAAAATGCCTGTTATAAAAAAACCACCAACAAAATAAAAACCCTGGCCCAAAAATGTTATGTGATACCACTGGGAAAATGACAGCTGAAGGGTCCCTTTTAGATCTTCCGTTGAGTGACTTGCTGGGTTTAGAGGTGCTTTTGCACATGCTACTTTGCCCATCTGTTCTCCCTGCTTCCTCAGATCCCCTGAGCAGACAGAGAAGCACAATTCAGAAGACTTTTTTCTCTGCTCTTCAGAAAGAAGAAATTATGTCAACTGCAATATGCTATTTGGATGCAAAAAACCCTGAGTTGACAGGTAAAAAAACCCCAGATAGTATCCCTGAGATGTGTAAGGTGAGTTGCCTGAAGAATCCCAGTCCCCTTGGTTTAGCAGTGGTCACTGAATTACAGACCTGGCATTTTTGGACGGCCATGTTTTTTGCTTGCTTGCTCCTCTGTTAGACATTTAAAGGATATAATGCTGTGGTGAGAAATGGCTTAATTTATACCATTTGCTTTACTAGCATGGCCTTTAAGTCAATAATATGTTGTAAGACTCGACTCTCTGTGAGCTAATCTCTGCTGATAGCACATGATTGATTCAATTTTGCAGATGGGACTCAACCTGTTGTATGATTACCTGTTGTGTCTCAATCTGTCTTATGATTTCTTGCACACAGACCTAGCCACTGACAACTCAAAAATGTTAATGTGGGTGAATGCTCGCACATATGCTTTACATATATGTGAACACCCACTCCTTTATGCATTGCTGTAGGAAAAAATATAGTTGTACACAAGAATCCTGTTCTTGGGGAATACATAGGGAATGCAGGATGCAAAGTTATGCAGCCAGAAATAGAAGCAGGGGGTTGAAATGCCAGCTTGTGAAAAAAAAAGGAAAATTAATATTGAATGGTTGTATGTTCAAGAGGGCTGAGCATGACAGGGATTTGTACTTGATCCACCTTCCTTCAGTAGGTCAGCGCTTGTTGGCTCCAAATCTCAAGCTGCTTTCACGTGGATGCCTTCTCTTACCATACTCTTGTGGGATATCTGTCTGTCCCGAAGCCCTAGGCCACTTGACACTAATTACCAGTAATTGCTGTCAGTGTTGAAAGAAAAGGTGGTGCTGAGTCAGTGAAGAGAGGGAATTGTTCTGCTGTCCCTGGAAGTCTTACATTTAGCACCAGTTGTCACACAAGGCTGCTGTGGCCTCCCCTGTGTGTTTTCTGTGTTCCCTGGTTCAGTGAAGACCACGACCACAGGAGTTCTGCATCAGAAGTAAAATGTCACAATTAAGTAGAGAAATTCAGTTTTCAAATTTTCATGGAACAATTTCTTATTGTAGAATATTCTGAGTTGGAAGGGGCCCACAAGGATCATGGGAGTCCAACTCCTGGCTCTGCATAGATTGTCCCATGGATAATCCATTTAGGATCATACTTTTAGAGATACACTGAGCATTTGAAAGCATTTGAAAATATAAAATTTAGCTCACTTTTCATTTTTCTTTAACTTAATGCCAATTTAGAAATTGTTATTTCTGTTCAATAGACTTCAGTTGTAGCAGGCTAATGCCTACACAGCAGAACTTTTCTCCCCTACTTGATCCTGTCTGTAATTTAAGAAACTGAGCAGGGGAACCCTGGGTCTGTCTGAAGGCTAGATTATGACTCCAGTTTATTTACACAACTGATGGCTTGAATTTCTTTTAGGTTCCAGAGTTTGTCCTCTAAGCATTTATTTTCCCATTTAATGAAAAAGCTGCCTGGGGCTGAGCCCTGACACATGAGGTGGCATTTCAAGATCAAATGTTATTAATGTAAAAAAAAAAAAGCACTGGAGACCACTGATTTAATTTAAGGACTTATTTTCAGATGTGATTTATCCCAAATTTCTAGTAAAAGTCCATGGAAGTTGTGATTTTGTCCCGTTTTTGAAAACAGATCCTGACCTAAGACACTTCAATCATATGGCACCATTAGTGAAGAAGGACTTATGGCCACTGTACTGAAATATCTTTAAAATGTGACCATCTGCTCAGTGTTGTGCAAAGGCAGGAAATACTAATTGCAGAATGTTCTGACATCTCTGTACTTGTGACACAGCTGAATCTGACCCAATATGTTCACTAAATTGAAGTTGATGTATATTGAAAACTGCACAGCTCAGTAACACTTTGTTTCTGAACTTATTACCTTTGTAAGAAGGCAAAAGGAGTATATTTTTAAAAGGCACTCAGTTCAAATTTGCATGAAAATGATACTTTGCTATAAGATTTGTTATGAACTATTAGATAGAGGCTCTTTAAAAGCAGATTATCTAAATACCTATTTATGCAATGTAACAGTTGAAAAGTTAGTATGTATTTTAAGACTGACAGTAGCTTACTGTGTTCAGCATCTTTGGCTTGTACAGCAGAACATTTTTCACTTAACAACATATTTGAAAAACTAAAGCAAATACCAAGAGACACACTGTGCACACACACACTGGATTTAAATATAAAGTTCAAGTCACACCATGAGTCAGCTGCAAGCAGGAAAATATTAAATCTGACATTTTTTTAGTAGACGTGCTCCTGTGCTTAAATGTTATAAAGGTTGTTTGTCAATAGATGAATGCTGTACACACTATGAGTTGAACAACCTAAGCCAAAAAGGTTTCTAAATGTATAAATGTTAAGAACTGGAACTACACAGTCTGATCCCCTTAGCCAAGCCCATGAGAGGACTCCTTCAGCCACTCTGTTTGGTTCTGCTTTACTCTGTCTGCAAAACTACTCACAGACCTGGGGCCTGCTTAACAATGGCAGTGTCTGCATTGTCTTGCCCTGTTAACATCAGTGGCTCTTAATGTTGTCTCCCTGCTTTTGAATCCAGCTTCTGACTCTGCATTGAGAGCCTCTGTCATGGCCTCTGGGTAAGGTCATGTGTCCCTTGCTACCAGAACTTGATTGTGTTCTGTGAGTGGTTTCATTTCGTGTTAGACCATTAATGAATATTGGTCCAAACGTCAAGCTTAATAGCAGAATTGCAGGTTTTTAGTAGGCAGTGAAATAATCTTGACATTGCTCCAGGCTTGTATTTGTGGGATTTTTATGCAATGTGCTTCTGGAATGGAGTGGAATATTGTATTCTGCCTACTCATTCTTCTGTTCTTCATGTAAATATATACCCAAGTGTTTGCAGAAGGCAGTGATTTTTTAAATCAAACAGGTTATATTTATTTAAGCGTGAATCTTCTATCCACTCCACCCTTGCAGGTGACAGTTCCTAAGATTGATTATTCAGGATAAACATCTCTCCTTATTCATGAATATGTCTTCTGTATGTGCAGGAGGACACTCATTCTATTCTGAAGTGGTCACCACTTCTGCTCAGAGATGCTGCCCCTGCTTTGGCCTTACCTTGTGGATTCTCCAGGGACTGCTTGTGCCTCCAGGTACCCTTGGAATCAGTTGCCATACTGTTGGATTTGTCTTGTTCTTAAGTTTGTACAGCCAGGACAAACAGCTGCTGTATGAAAGAAAGGCAATGCCTGTCCCTGGTCTGCCCCAAATGGGCTGATCCACTGTGATCCCACTGCATGTGGGACTTGTCATGCAGGACCAGCTGAGATGTCCCTGTGCACCTTGGTGCACTGGGACATAGTGGTGAGAATCCAACCCACGTCCTGCCCTGCAGGGTGAGTTTGTTTCAGGGGTGCAAAGCTGTGGCTTCATATTTGAAATCTGGAGGAATGAGTAGCTGAAGTAATTGTTAGTAAATTGTGTTTCTATTCAATTTTGAAATGAATAGATGATTTTTTTTCAGGGATGTGTTAGTGGTGCCAAGTCAGAAGACTTCCTAGGCAAAAGATCTGATTACCTAGAAATTAAAATGGTGCAGAATATTTAGAATATGATAGTTTTATCCTTTGGGCATATGACTGTGTAGGCTGAAGAAATTAGAGGAGCTGGTCTCCCACCTCAGTTTTCTTAATGCCCTGTATGTGTTTTATACAACATTTTGGTTTTATAAGCAATCATGCACACGTGCTTTCAGATTTCTCTGTTCCAGACCCTGGAAAGTTCTGCTTGTATAATGGGTCTAGAGTTATAAAGATTTAAATTGTGAAATATGTTAAATAAATGATGTATTTCTTTAGAATCATTCTCAAAACTGAAGACTCAAGATACTTGTTTTGAATACTTGAAGACTTTCTAAATCCCTGTCTTGTCAATCTCCTGGAAGGAGGGTGTGCTCACTTGTAGCTTACAGTCTGTCCTTGTACTAGGTACAATCCTTTGAGATGCAGAGGCCATAGGTAATCAATCCTGCATTCATTTTTCAACAAAAGAAATAATCTGATATTCAGTAGAATTTTGCATTGAGAAAGAGCTGCAGAAATATTATGAACCATGCACTTAGGATTTAATATTTTTAACCTGTTAAGCTTTGTGCATCTAAGAAGTGCAGATGTCTAACACTAAAGCTTTCTGTGGAAAAAAAAGGTCAGAAAAGGAAACACTGACCATATATACTCCCCCTTTCCTGTGCAGTGCATTAAGCAACAGTGCAATGTGACAAAATTTTCATTGATGCTTTTTCCATTTATTCTCATGGAGAAAATTCCTATAGAATTGTGAGTTATTGTGACCTGAACATTTTGTTTCATTCTGGTAAGAGTAAGTTTTGAGATCACAATCATATTCCATAGGTGAGATGTCAACAGAAGAGGTGGAATTCTGCCACCCTTTGTCACTGCGTCTGTTGTATTGCAGGTCTTGTCTTTGGAATCTTGATCCTGGTTGCACCAGGAGAGGGTGCAGTCTTCTCACTGTGTGACTTGGAAGATCAATTTGATTTTGGCTCCTGGCCAATATTGGATCATTGGGAATGTGTTCTTCCCTCTCTTATTTATGAACTCTGTAACTTCCATCTGCCACCATGTACAGTGGGATAGCGTAGTTGATCCAGAAGATCCAGAGTTGATCCAGAGAAAGATGTAGTGTGCTTTGGCCATGTCTTCAAGTCATGGAAGAAGCCTTTAACTGTGGAAAGAGATTTTATAGTTACAGAAGCCATGTGGATATTGAATTAAGAATCCAGAAGACACTTCAGAGTGCAACAGGCTACTGACCACTTGCCTTTGATTGGAAACAATTTTCACAATGTAACAAATTCTGTAGAATATTTTCCTTTTCGAGGATTCTCTTTTCCCTTGGAAAGACCTGGGAGTTGGGATAGCCCAGTGAAAAGTTTCATCTCTGTGTTTGAAATGACGGATGTAGAAGGCTGAAGATGAGTTGTGTTTCATAGGAGGCATAAGACTGGTGTTCACAGGTATTTATCTTCTTTTGTTGTGTAGGAGAGAGTGGAATCTTATCACACTACACCAGAGAGATGTTTTCAAAGCAGAAGACTATGACTGTATGTTCTGGTCCTGTGTGGATGTCTAAGAGGAATGTTTTAAGTCAGGGTAGCTGCAGGCTGAACACTCCGCTTTAAATCTCATGTTTGACTCATCAACACTTCACAATTGGCTGTAACAAATTCCACTGCCTGCTCTAGTCTAAAGGATCTCCTTTTTCTTTGCCGTTCGTGCATCAACATCCAAGTCTGGTGTTATGCAGGCACGTATTTTAAAGGGGAGTGCACTTTCAGACACTTACAAATCTTATTACTCAGTTTGGGGCTGGGCAGATAGAAAGCACCTTGGGAGAAAGGGAGCTTGGGGTCCTGGTGGACAAGAAGGTGACCATGAGCCAGCAGTGTGCCTTTGCAGCAAAGGCAGCCCAGCATCCTGGGCTGCACTGGGAAGAGAGAAGCACTGGAGCTTGTTTCATGTGAGGAGAGGTCAGGAGAGCTGAGACTGTCCAGCCTGGAGGAGAAAAAGCTCAGGGAAGCTCTTACTGATGTGTAAAACTACCTGAATGGGGAGGACAAAGAAGACAGAGCCAGACTTTTAGTGGTGCCCAGTGACAACACAGGAGGTAAAAGGCACAAACTGAAATACAGGAGGTTTCCTCTGAACATCTGGAAACAGTTTTTCATTGTGAGGGTGACCAAGCACTGGTTTCCCAGAGAGGTGGTGGATTCTCCAGCTGAGGAGATTTTCAAAGCCTTACCTGAACACAGTCCTGGGCAGCCCACTCTGGCTGCTTCTGGTTGAGCTGGGGCTGTGGACTAGATGATCAGAAGGCCCCTTCCAGCCTCAGCAGTTCTACTGTTCTGTGATATACCACATATTGACACACATCAGAGGAAGCCTCCCTGTCAGACTTGTCCATCAGTCCTGTCAGGGAAACGGGAAGTGTGGGAGACACACTCTGTTATACAGACATTGTAAAGTTATGGTATGGCTCAATGTAATGTGCAAGTTGTGTCCAAAGTACATGAACTTATGTGGAAAGACTGTGGTGTACTCACAACACAAAGAAGCAGATGAAGGTCTCAGACTTGCTATTTGGAATTTTAAGGGCATCCAGCAAGGTTTGTGTAGACACATGAGGACATTTTTGCTCATGTTCCAGAACCTGGCTAATTCCAGCCTGGAAATGTGGCCTAAGAAATACTTAATTTTGGCCACATGTAACTATCCTTTTTCCCCTTTCATATCTCTTGTAGCTTTAGTCCAGATAAATGGAGCACTTGTTCAGGGTATAACAATTTAGCAACCCTTTCAATACAGACTTAAAGATCTATAGTGCAATGTAAGTGAAGGGAAAGACAGAAAATTAAAACTATAAAGACATTAGGCTATTGTGGTTTGCTGTTACTGTCCGTGTTATTGCTGTTATGAGTGACATAGTTGTTTTTAGCATAGCCTGGCTAGCATCCTTAGCTGAAATTAGGAAGTTCACTGCACTGGTGGCTTGATGAACCCACGACATGACTGTATGCTGTCTTGGCTCAAGTAGGACCAAGCTGCCAAAGCAGAGCTCATCTTCCTCAGTGTCCTTGTGTTGCTGCTTCTGTGGTGGGAGCAGATGGCATAGCAGGAGTGTTCCCGGCTTTGGTAAAACAAGATGCAGAAGGTAAAATGAACTGGCTCTCTTTGGAATATGTTAGCTATTACAGTTAGGTGTTGTCTAGCAATCAGGCCTAGATGTAATTCTCCATTGCACAGATTATATCAAGCATCTCTCAAATATGGCAAGCGCACACCACACAGAAATAAAGATTTTCAGAAGTTGCAAAATGACTGATTTCACAGCCATACGTGCATTTTGAGCCATTTCTTCCCATGTCCGATTCTGAATGTTTTAGTTGTGTAGCAATGAAATAACTGATTTGTTGGCAGCATCTCATAGTTGGTTACATAAAAGCCACAATGGCCTTGAAACCTTGAATCTGGACAGAGGGATGAAGAATATTTTAAGCTCATGATTCAGTGACCTTGAGTTCAACAGTGACAAGAGATTTCTGCCATTTAAGTAGATAATTAAATGAACTCACACATGTAAAATGTATTTTCCGGTTGCTCAGATGTCTGTGTCCCTCATGGCCTCCTCATGACCTTTCACGATCTCACCAGAGGTGCCAGCTTTGGATGAGATTGTGAAAGTTGAACCATGCTTGATTGTGGAATTTAACTCCTTGGGATCAGAGCATGCTCCTGGGACAATGGGAGAAATTTGCAATCACCCTCCACTAAGGGTTCTGTTATTCTACTTCATAGCATCTTGCATCCATGCCAAAAGGAAAATAATTTTTATGCTTTTTAGATTATATTCAGTGATGTTTGTTCACTGTTTTTTGGCCTTGTGTGTATGCTATTAGAGGTAGGCTAATTTATGGTGGCATGTGATTGCTTGTTGTACTTGTTCCTAAAACTGGGGAGGGAAAATGCTAGGAACAGATCTGCAAAGTGATTTTACCTCATTTTCTCCTTGATTGCTTTACTACATTCTCTTCTTTTTTCTGGCATGCATTTCTTGGCCTCTTAATTTTCAGCATAAAATATAAAGAGTTACTCACTGATCCACATATATATGAAAAGGTGAAAGAGGTCAGTGAAGAGTATAATGATGAGAGGGAGAGGAAAAGTGCTTTTGAAAATATGTTTCTAGTTTGATTAGATTTAGCCCTGGTTCAAACTATAAAATCTTTGCAAAATTATAATTCCTGTAACGAGGTTAGGTTATAATCCCAATCAATTCAATCTTCTGGCCTGCACACCATTAAGCAGGCATTTTCTAGTTCATAACTGCAGGAGAGACAATACAGCAGACTTTGTGAGGAAAGCCTTATGTGACTGCGAGATTATCTGTTTTTTATAATTATCTTAATTGATCTAGTAAAATATATTTCTTTTCCTGATAAATGTTGCCTTGATGTGTCCAGGAGGCAATCAAAGCTACAACTGTATTACTGCTGCTCTGAAAGTCACAGCTGAATATGTCAGTGGGAATCAAAGTAAAAGGGGCAATAGAAATGTTGTGAATTATTATTAAGATA